ACTTTAAGGAGGCAGCTTCTAAATGAAGCAATACAAGTCAGGTAGTCTCCTTTAAGGTCGCACGTGTTCGTCTGCTGGTCATTTACACAGCGCATGTGGCTCTATGCTTGTGTTGATGACACTGCTATAAGCCGATTAGCTTTTATGCAAGACTAAAGCTGTATGAACACTAGATATGAAGCAGGCCAGATAAACGTGAGTATTAAACAACAGCTCAGCAGTTGCGATATCACGCCTTCAGGCACGTGTTTAGAGCAAACGGGTGCTAAAAACCTTTTTCACTAAAGCAGTGATAGCTCAAATGAACCCTCACTTTGTTTTTTAATGGTGAAGGATAAGGTTATTCAGTTGTCTTAATGATGCAAGGGGCTGTTAGGTTCTTAGTCCTGAGTGTAAATAGTATGGAGAGCCTGCATGTTTGTCTCTGAATAAAGCATAAAAAGAACACTGTAAATTAAGGTACCTGAAAACTGCTTCTGCAGCTTGAAAAGTATTTTAAATTTGAAAAATTAAAAACAGAGAGATCTAATGGCATGGACCAAAAGCTGTGGGTTTTGCTCAAATATAAAGTGAATTAAATGAGCAAAGTGCAGCTCTGTCAGGTGTAGCTCATTGCCTGGGGTAATTGCCCAGATTGCCTGAAATGAGCCTTCCCCACTGATTTCCCCATTTCAGGCTGACACCGCTAGGAAAAAAAGAAGAAAAAAAACTCTCAGCGGGTAATCAGATGTAACCATTTCTTGTCAGTATTATGAACACTTGGCCATCCCTGTGGCTAAATAATTAGAACAAGTAAATCGAGGCCAAACACCCACTAAGACCTGCAGAGGACTATAAGTGAAGCACTGATGGAGCCACTCTGACTTTTTTCCTTCCTCTTTCTTTCTATATATAACACAGCTAAGGCTGAAGATCTCATGCTTTTTAGTGCATAGCTGTGGGGTTGGATAGTAGTATGTATATATGGAAGAGGAAATTATTTCTATATGAATTGAGAACACTAAGAACTGACTGAGATGCTGTCCAGCATTTCCGGAGTTAATAAACCAGAACAATAAAAGTTGCTTTTCCTTGTAGAAAACAAAACGTATGTATAGCGCATTAATAATTAATAGATCTCCAAACAACTGTTTAGAAATCAGAATGGGATAATCCCCCTTGATTTGTTCATGTCTGTGATCAGAATGTCAAGTGCTGATAAACGTGACCTTTCTGGTTCACTTACGGCATCTAAAAGAACACCGCCATCATTTTCAGCTACCACATTACACACTGATGCACTTTTAGTTTTAAATAAACATCAGATAAAGGCTAGTCAAACGTTTAGATGCATTAATAGTAATAATCCTCTAATTCCTTATATTTTTCCTTTATTAAAAAGAAAATGTGGTATGTATTAACCATTTAATATATTGAAAAAGTCCTTAGAAATAGAAGATAACTTAGTAGTTAAACTCAGTTTATAATTACTCTAATTTCTACGGGACCAGGATCATCACTGAGTACTCGCTCAGTCCTTTATCTAAAAAAAACTTTTAGGGGAAAAAATGTATATACTAAGCATAATATGTTTGTTTTTAATTCTTTAATGAAACATGAATGCAGAAACATTCTTTAAATAATGTATTTTGTGTCAAAACTGACTGGATGTCAGCAGTAGGAAAGGCTGTACACAGCTTACAATGCATTTACTGTCAATTATATATATTCCTTTGCACATTTACACCTAAACTTGGTTATTCCGGTGCATAAATTAGCAATTTATTACACTGAGGTTATTTCTCTCTCTGTCTCTGTCTCTCTCTCTGTGTCTCTCGAACTTGATTGTGTATCAATTCCAGATATCCTTATCAAAAGAAATCTTAATAGCTGCAACCTCTGTATTTTGAGAAGGATGACAGAAATTACTTTCATGCAAAATCACATCAAAGTCTTTTTGCATTTTGGTCCAGAGGAATTTTCCATTTGAAGTTCACTTTAACAAAAGCTAGCCCTACTCTTCTGGGAAGTCATAAACATCAGGTTACACAGATTCATCTTTTAGGTTTGCATTGCGGACTTCAAATCAGGAAGGATACACTGAACAAGAAGCAGGAAGTATTTACTATCCCGGAGGGGTTTGCATCACCATGCACACTTCGGTCTAAAGCTGGTCGGTTTCCTAAGTTTGTGTCTTTTGTTTTGTTTTTTTTCCTGAACAATATATCCTAGTTTAATGTTAAAGCGGATTCTTAGCAATCAATCTGGGTTAGGATTTCCTTCAGATGTTTGCAGGCGTACAAACATCTAAATTAACAGACAACTGATTTAGGGTTGCCTTTAGATTTTAAACAATTCATTTAAAAGTTCAAAAAGCTCCACGGACTGATGGAATTGGGAAAAATATAATTAATTCAACAAAACCTGTTGCTTTAAACAGGTCCTACCAACCAATACGGCTGCATTATAATACTGCAAGGCTGAGCTACATTCAGCAGTGCTGAGGAAATAACCTTTCAGGCTTAATTTAATGAGAACAAAGAGGAAAAAAAAAAACATGATTTATGTACGTCTCAGATCTTACAGTGGAAGAGAAAAAACAATTCAATATGACTGCAGAATTCTGAGCCTGAGATAAGAAAAGGCAATACGAGGTTTACAATCATGCTGTCGAGATCTGACATATCACAGCAACAGATCGCATCTATAACCTGCAGCCGCTGAGCATATTAGAGCCGCAGCTGAAGAAGCCATGTGATCAGTTACAAGTGAGATCACATTTTAGTTCAATTCTGCAGCAGCCATTTGGGAACTAATCACTGTGCTGGGAAACCGGTCTTTAGCGCCATCATATAATGAGCTGAGACGTAGTCCGCCATAAAAGTGTCAGGTTTACACATCACAATGATGCTGGGCGCCCAGTAACATGCAGCTTTTAATTGCTTTAATACCGGAGCAAATTGTCATTCAGTAATAAAGCGCAAAGAGGGGAGAGGCTGGCTGATGTTTTTGATCAGGACAAAAAAGAAAAAGAAAATACATTGAGATTGGCAATAAATGCAATATCCAGAGCATGGGTCAGGGTCATCCGAGAGCTTTAAAGCAGGGGCATCAAATTAAACAGTTTAGGCAAAAAAAAAACAAATAAATAAATTATGTAAATGAAACACCAAATATAATCATATTTACAAAATAGAATTATACCTTGCTACTAGGGGTGTAAATCACATCCATCATGGCGATTCCATTCAGTATCGATTTCCTGACCCAACGATTCGATTATATTCGATACTCAAGAATACACCACGATGTGATTGGATTAATTGGTTCATTTTTTTTTTTTTTTACACCTTACAGGCTAGAGAATATTTCAAATTTGAAAAAATCAATGAAAGCTGTAATATATTAATGCATTTTTTTGAGAAACTACAGAAAATAAGTAGAGAAGTTGCGCTCCATCTATTCCTATTAAAACCTCATTCACTGAAAAATAATAATACCCCTGTGTTATAGATTCTGAAAGGCTTTGCATCAGAAAATACTGCACAAAATTAGTGCAATGAGTGCAATGAAATACCTTGGCTCCAGACGTCCCCGCCCCCTCCGCAGACACTCCGCTGCACCTCTACCAAATTGTAGCTGACCGCAGACAGTGCCGCAGACAGGAGGCCGGCTTGTTTTGTTTTTATGACAGAAATTGCAGAAAACAACTCGTGAAGTTTGACCCGCTAGAAGAGCAAGGTGCGCGAGAACGCTGGGACCCTTTTTCCGCCTGGATCTCCGCCCTTTTTGGCCCTGATGTCCCTCCGTCGTCGGATTAAACTCGCCCCGACTTCCTCACCGCCTCGGCCGTATCTAGACCCACAGTGTGTAGCACAGACCACGCTTCAATATGGAGCATAAATCACAAATGTCTGTGTCAAGCTTACTGCAACACACTGCTGTAAGAGTATAACCAGGAAGCGAGGTAGGAGGGCAAAATAGGTTTAGCGCCACCGCAGCATGGGAGGGAGAATTACGTGCAGGAGCAAATGGATAAAAATAAACCGGAGGGGAAAAAAAACATGAATCGTTACTCTTGTGGACGTATCGATGCATCGGACCGTCAGCTGTTGGATCGATGCATTGATACAAACCGATTATTATTTACACCCCTACTTGCTACACGTATAAAACCATTTCTGAATGACAAGAGAAATAAACATTAAAAAACCTTTACTAACCTTTACCTTTACTACCCCAGCCTCAATCTTTGTCAGACACTTCCCTCTGGCAGTAGGCTGCGGTCCATCAGGACCAAAACCTCCTTCCACAAGAACAGTTTCTCCTCATCCGCTACCAGCCTTTAATCAGAGACCCCCGTGACTCTGACACTGCCTCTCTCTCCAACCCCCATTCAGGACCTAGAAGCTACACCAACGTAGCATCTCCAGACCTCCTGCATTACATTAACCCACAGTCCACTGTGTATATATGTATATGTATATAGCTATAGATTCTGTATTCTGTATGTATATCTAACTTGTCTGCACCATCAGCACCAATTCAAATTCCTTGTAAGTGAAAACCTAGTTGGCAATAAACTTGATTCTGATTCTAAATGTCACATCTTGTTTTAGAAAATCTTTAATACCATCAGTTAAAAAAAAGGTATTTGAATCAACTGTTAATCCTGTTATAAAGAAGAAGCGGATTGTGAGTTTGACGGCTTAGACAGAGAGAGCTCGGTGTGACAGAGAGATATAACGATGGTGATGACTCCTACCCTGGGGGAGGGTCATCAGTGAAGGAGGAAAAAAATGAGGAA